ATTTGTGTTAAACAAGAATATTGTGTGCATCAATCTTGTTGGCAAATATCATAAACTGACTATATATATATATCGGCTTTTACTTAACTGCTAAATCCAAAATACAATTTAACTACTAAATTAAAAGTATCATTTAGCTAAGTTTCAGACCATTCGAAATTCTAATACATAACATCATAATAGGTTAGATACATTTCACAGCAAGTTCTCTTTTTTTCTATTTATAATATTTATGCGTATTTGTGTATACGTGTAACATGATGGTCTTGTTCTGAAATATTGGTTTGTTTGTTTGATAAACATATATTGCAGTGGTTCTCAAAGTGTGGTCAGTGGACCACTTGTGGCCCAAGAGGGTACTCCATGTGGTCAGAAGGCTGCTTCAAAATGAGGGTGACTGACGAATATTTGTGCTGGTGGGGTAGGATCGGTAGGTGGTCCGCGGGGTCTTTTGCCCCGCCACCGAAGTGGTTCGTAGACGAAAACATTTGAGAACCACTGATATAGTGTATCAAAATTCCATATTATCTTTTCACCTTATTTCTGAACGCAACATTTCTATTTTTTTTCTTTTAGGACTAAGCAACGAACCGATAACTTCTGATAAGATAATGAAACTGATGCCCGAAATCCGCAGTTTCCAAGAAATAATAGTCAAGTTAAAACATTTACATGTCGACCCTACAGAGTACACTTGTCTTAAAGCTATTGTGCTTTTTAAAACAGGTTAGTAACAGTCACTCGTCATTGTGTAATCGTTTTTATTAAAATCAACCATAATTTTGTGATATTTTACAATTAGCCAGACTTTCGTCATACGTAAAGGTAGTGCTTTGGAATGGCGATTAGACAACAATGTAGATAAATTATTGTATTTTGTAATTATTTTATTATTTTAAATGTATCTATGTGCGATGATCAGACTTCGAACACTGGTGGTGATAAAAAAAAGTTTGGCATATAAAAAATGTCAGATGACAACGCCCGAAACTTAATACCGGGGGAGGGGTTCAGTCGTGACCCGCCGCCACCTCAATCAGTTGTCATGAATATAATTTGATTATATTGGAACTACTGTTTGATTATATAGAAACTACTATTTTTATGTTATATACTATTTTCACAAACATACTATGTACATTTCTTTCAGAAGAGTTTTACCACGCGTTCGTTTGGATCGAAGAATCTAATGATAAGTTTACGTTTAATTAATTCAATAAGTAACTGTCCTATGCTTGAAGTTTATGATAAACCCAAGTATTGTGAAGTGACAAATGATTTTTATGTTTCTGATTTTTCAAAATAATAAAAGTTATTGTATATTATTGAAATATGAACATTACAAAATATATTTAGTAAAATTTGCTTTTTATAGGTTTACTTAAATTTGAAACTTTTCATGAAATTTTCATTTACGTATTAATCCGATCTAAGTTAAATCAATTAATGGTTGGGACTTTATATTAAGCAATATATTTTTTCTTACTTAGATTCTAGTTAATTCAGATATTCACGTATTTTTCTCGATTGTGCAGATTTTCCATCAGGAGAAGCCCAACTCCGTGGTTTGCGCGACATCCATACAGTGGCGTCCCTTCAGGATCAAGCACAGATTACCCTGGGAAAGTACGAGCAAACAACGTACTCATCGCAGCCTTTTCGCTTCGGCAAGCTTTTACTCACATTGCCTTCTCTCCGTTCCGTGTCAGCTAAAACTGTAGAGGATCTGTTCTTCCGGAAAACTATCGGAAGCATTCCTCTCGAACGGTTGCTATGTGATATGTATAAGAGAAGTGACTTTTGATAAATGTAACCTTCTTTAGCAAAGGCTCGTGCTGGAGTTAAGACTACACTTACTAAATGAACGGTCTTAGACAAAGCTAAGTAACGTCCGCTCTCAGTTCAGCATGACTCTCGATTCATCGGAAGAATACATCAGTTCATCAGTTCCGATCCGGGATTTTTCCGGCTGTTTTCAAAGAGGAAGGAAAGATAGGCGATACGAATGGAACTGTACAGGTTGGAGTCGTTCATAAAACCTGAACCTGCATCAAGTATTGCAAAATCTCAATTGATATAAAATATCTGATAATGCATGAATTCAAACATTATTAAAATATAATCAAAAGACGAATAAGTAATTATCCCGCAGTCTAAGTGTTATTAATATCTGCTATAACTAAAAATATTTCCAGATAAAGCATTTTTAATCCAAGCTTTACTAAACTTTGAACATTCCAAACGTCTTAAACTTTAATACACAAGGCATGTCTTTTCTAAATGTCATTAAACTTGAAACATTAAGTTTCATTCCAAGCATTGTTAACTTTAATACACAAGGAATGTCTTTTCCAAATGTCATTAAACATGAAACATTAAGTTTCATTCCAAGCATTGTTAACTTTAATGCACAAAGTATATCTTTTTTTTTTCCAAATGTCATTAAACTTGATACACTGAGGACACCTATTCTAAACGTTATTAAAGTTGAAGCATTAGCTTTAATTCCAAGCATCGGTTGTTCGTGGTCCCCCTACAATTTACTTCGTATGACCATTAATAGTATGACATTATTGTCTGTAATGCTGTGTGTCCTATTGCACTGCGTGACCTATCAACGCGCACTGCGTGATCTATCAACGCTAAAGCAGGTTGAACTTTTTTTCTATACTGAAACCGAGCATGTTATTCCCTAGTCTAAAATTTCGTTAAGTAAAAAGAGTTTTAATAACTCGGTTTTTAGTTTAAATAACGTAGAACTATTGACATACACATTATATATGTTGTAATCCTTGTATGAGAGACTCTAGCACTCCCCCTCTCGAATACATAATTTTAATAGTTTTCATATGGACAGCTCGAATATTTTATCAAAATATAGAAATATTTCCAGTTAGTTTATTTGGATATACATTTGTATTCCTACTATAAGTAAAAAAAAAAAAAATAGTTTAAAACAGATACAGACGTGCACCTAATTTTTCAAGTTTTCTCAGGAGAGGCCCCACCCCGCTCAGCAGATAGGGGGATATCCCTCTTTATCCTCCCCTTCGTCTAGGCTCTTCGTGTCTCTAGCTGCCTTCACTTACAATTTTGCTTTTTTTACTGTTGAATCTATTCCAAAATTCTTGGATCCGACCCTGATACTCCAAGCATCTTATTTTCTTCAACATATGTAAACTGGAAATATGGATAATGCTCTATTCCAAGTGTATTTAATCCTGGAACACTAAGTATGCGTTCTTCCAATTGTTTTCAATCGTGACACATCAAGTACGCTTTGTTTTAAACATTATTACACCAGATACACAAAGCATGCTTTATTCTGAAAGTTAATAAACATGATCCCCTAAATATGCTTTATTTCAAACGTTACACGCTTGTTACACTAGGCATGTTTTATTTCAAATGTTATTAAACATGGCGCTCTAATCATTCTTTTTAAAACGTTATAAGCTCTGCTTAAGTTGGCTTTAGTATAAAAGTATTGAAATTAAGATGTTAAGAATTATTCTGGTTGTTGTTAAGCACAAAGCTACACAATAGGTAAGTTAAGAATTCTATTTTTAAAACGTTCTAAAATCTTAAACATTCAGTATTCATTATTTCAGACGTAATTACATCTGATAACGCATCGTTATAAACCGATACATTAAGTAAGCCTTATTCGAAATGTTATCACGTCAGAGACATTAAGAATGTTTTGTTTGAAAAGTTATTAAATTTTAAACACTAAGTAAGTTCTGTTACGAGTGTTTTAACCCTGATATGCTCTACATACCTTATTCCAACGTTATTAAATCTTACACACTGAGTATTTATTTGTTTAAACGTTATTAAACACTAATTATGGCTTGTTTCAAATGTTATAAAGACTGGTACTCTAAGCATGCCTTAGTTCATAAGTTAAGCGTCCTGAACACTAATTGTATCCATTTTGAACATTACCAAGATTTGGTAAAACGTTAGATATCTGAAAATGATTCAATGGTATATTACGGAAAGAGCGGAACAAAATATTTTCTGTAAAAATAAAACAAATATGTTAAAAAGTAATTCTAATTTTCTTAAAAATTAGAATAATGGTATCAGCTTCATTTGTATAAATAAATATGAATTACTTGGTTTAAGCATAAATATTAATTTTGAATCTAAGTTTCAAATGGATAGCAACTGCCTGTTGTAGAAACCTACAAATGAAGAGGACGACGTTTTTGAAACTTAGATTCATTATGAATGCTCTGCCTAAATAATCTATCAAAGAATATTGATCTTGATTTTATATGCTATTTATATTTCAAGTTGTTTCATTAATTTTGAACTATTCATGCAATATATATATATGTAATATTATATCTTTTTGACAAATTTTTCATTTGATGTATAGAAATGATGTAAGTTAATAAAAACATTAGAGTTCTAAAATATTCAATTTTATACTGTTCTTTATAAATAAAGGCACAGACATAAAATACATCTGACTTATTATTAAAACAAATACGACCAAATATTTCTGATGAATGAAACTTTCTGATGTTTCGACTTATGCTGAATGGAACACAATACGACAAGACAAATGTATATCGTGACATGATGTCACGTGATACCACACTTTATGAAGAAACATTATTCTCCTGAAAAATAAGCAAATAAATATAATGTTGAGCTCGTTGGGTTCATCTTTACTTTTGAAACTATAATTGTAATTCTTTGTTGCCTGAAGATGGTTTAGGTAGAACCGAAAGCTTGCGTGATGTAGTACCTTTTTATGTTATATAAAGTTGAATTAAGACAGGCCAGTCTTTATATCTGTTTAAGGGAGGAGTTTTATCTTGAATTAGCAGTGCCTCCTTATATTTTATTTCTAAGAAATTGTTACATTTTTCCAAAACTTTAATTTTAAAAGGTATTTCATTAGTCAGTCCATGTGTTGAAACAACTTGTTTAGCCGTAGCTTCTTTTGTGTGAACTGTTTGATATCATTGAAAGGTTCTCGCGTTGTGGACGATCAGTTTCACCAATATATATGTCTTTGAGCTCTGTGTACATTGTGTTTCATATACCACGTTTTATCACAACTACTATATTTTACATATCATTTTCTTAATATTACAATTATTATGAGGTTTCAGATTAGAATGAACAAGGAACTGTTTTAAACTTTTTCCAGTTTTTTGTATCAATCCTATAATAAGGCGCGATTTTCTGATAGCCTTCCGAATGTGAGTAGCAATATTATCATCTTTGTAGGGTAAGTTCCACGTTTTTTTTAGTAAGTGTTTTGTTTCAAAGTGTGTTTGATGTTAGTTTCGTTTTATTTTGAGAAATACTGATGAAAGTATTACTAATATTTTTAAGGTAATAGCCATTATGTAAGAGAAGTTGTTGGAAATCATCCCGGCAATTCTTTTTCCTCTGTTAGTATTTTGTCTATGCAAGTAAATTGGTCCAAAATCACACCTCTTTTAACTGAAGGAAGAAGATGAGGTTGAAACTGAGGAATAAGAAACTTAGTATAAGGTTTTTATATATTGTAATAAAACGTTTTTTTAATTACGATGTTGTTCTAGCTTTACTGCCACAATATTAGTTGGGCGAATTAATTCTGTTTATTAGATCATGAAACAGTTGTAACAGAGATGAACAATGGATAACATCTTGTGATGTCGATTTATTCAGTTTTTTGACATTGCAGAATGATTGGTGCAGCATTCTGATCTCTACTTTACGCAATATATTCCAGGGAAGAAGGCATCCCCAAGGTGAGAAACGTGTCTAAAGTCCTGAGTATTAAATCAACTTTTAAGTTGCCTGTAATTGAATACATTGCTGAATGTATATTTTTTAAGTTACAGCAAATTTCTCTGGATTAAACACTAGCATCGGAATAAGCAAACGCATTGATAAGTTAAAGTCATTGTCAGCAAATTGAATTATAATTCCTACATAAACTGTACAGCAAGTAATTATGGAAAGACACAGGTGATGAACATATCAGGAGCTACAAAGAACCAAATGGTCAATTTATCATTAGATTAAAGTACAAGAAAGTAAATAAGTGATACAATCTAATATAACAATACTCATATTTCAGTAAACATTTTGTACAACGTTATGTCGTAGTTTATTTATTAATAGCATTAAGTACGGCGAAGTTTAGCTCTAACTAAACTAAAACAAAAAACGTACACAAGTTACGATGTTAATTATCTCTTAATCGAAAAATAGACCATAATAAATTTCATGTATGTACTTCAGAGTTTCCATACTGCTCCAACCGAAACATAAAATGTTCTCTCAGTGTATAGCATGCAGTAACATTCACCAGCCAAAAATGTGATTCCTACAGGTTTGTTATTTGATATTTCAACTGGTTGTCATAACTACATACGGTACTCTACTGCAAGCAATGGTATGATTTCCTATACTTTTACGGGTGTGCCACTGACTGACTGGGAGAATGACAGCCAGTCACAGTGTAAGTTATTTAAATGGGACTGTAATCTAGTGCAGCTCATTTTCACACATTAAAAGGGAGCAGTTCAGTCAAATTTGTAACGTATACCAATTTTACTCACTGTTTCCATAATTATACCAACTTTTATTGTTGTTCTATTATAACTCGCAAAAATGTAAAAATACACAATAATGACTCAATATACATTCAGTTGTGATTTCTGTCTTTTTGGAAAACTAAACATAAATTCAATAAACTTATTTAACTGAAATATGTAGGGAAATGTAATTAAGAACTAATGAAACTAGATAAATTAAGTAGTAGTTCCTAATTTTTTGAAATAACGA